CAGGTCCGGATTTCCCCTTAGTCGCTGCTCATCAGCTCCGAGGTTCTGAGCTTCTCTGTCCGGGAGCGAGGAGTGGGCCGGGCACTGCTTCTCCGCACCTCTGGGGTCACCCCGGGGAGCCCTCGGCCCTCCTGGGGTTTCCCAAGAGCAGCCCAGACCCGTGGGCTCCGCACCTTCGCTTCTCCAGCCGCGACACCTACAGAGGCTTTGTGCTCCGAGGCTGCGCACCGCAAACGGCAGCCACGGCTTCCCGGAAGCGCTGCGACTGTGCGGGAAGGGCCGCGTGGGCACAGAGGTCTCGCGGAAACACAAATCTGGTTGTGCGTTAGCCCTTCGACATTTCCACGCGGCATCGCCTCAGTGCACTGTCCTCAGGCCTGGTCCTTTTAAGAGGAGCGGCTCCCTGGCCCCAGTTCCAGAGGGCACAGGCGGGCGCAGCCCTGCTGGGCCCTAGGCAGGACGTCCTGCAGGTGGCACTCGAGGCAGACCTGCTCCTGGCCAGAGCCTCCCCCATCTCTCCGAGGTGCAGCGGCCACCTCACCGCCCGCCAGTCCACTTTGGACAGTCACCTCCTTCCGAGTGCGGGACCACGCGCCGACAGGGAGCCCTGGGGACACCGAACCACGCTCGGGTCCTGTGCCGGCACTAGAGCTGGACAGCACCTGTGTGTGACCCTGTGCGACCCCCTGTGCATCAGAGCACAACACACGGCCCCAGGATCCACACACTCCGAAAACCAGGAGCCTTATAAATGGGTTAGAGGCAATCTTGACCCGGGGAGACCTGACAGCGGCCATTTGTCTCTGTTAGTGTTCCCTTCCCACGGCTGCTCGGCTGCGGGAGCCACGTGGCTGCTGCTGACCCCTCACCTGTCCAGTGGTCCCCTGGGCGGCTGCACTGATGCAGTCCAGAGGCCCAGCTGAGACAGGGGCTGGGGTCGGGTCAGGAAAGGCAAGGCTTCAGGACTCCTCGTGCGTGCTGCGACCAGACAGAATGAATGTTACGGTAAAAGGCACAGTGCCACGCAGCCCCTTAACGCCCCACACTTCCTGAGGCAGCCCTGGAAGGCATCTTTCGGGTGTCTTCAGTTGCACCATCCTGGCTGCCTCGATGTCCTGGATCCATGCTGACGTTGGGGAGGAGCAGAAGGCAGATGCTGCGACAGCCTGTGAGTAAAGTGGCTGAGAAGACACGGCAAGGTTTTGTGAGACAGTGTCTCACTATGTAGTTGAGGCTGACCTGGCCCTCACTGTGTAGCCCAGGCTGGTCTCGAACTCACAGCGATCCTCCTGCCTCAGCCTCCCGAGTGCTGGGATTACAGGTGTGTATCACCACGCCTGGTGGTTTTGTTCTCTTTTGACAGAAATCTCTGTAAACCATTTCAACTGATTCAAGACAAGGAAGCAGTCAAGAGAAAGATGCTCATGAAAAAGGACTTCCAGAGCTGCCTTGGAAAGTGGTAAGAACACAGGATGCGTGGATTTGAAGCCTGGGTGGGGGGAGAGTGAGTGAGGACACCTTTTACTTTTATTTAAATACCCATTGTGAGCCGGGCGTGGTGGCGCACGCCTGTAATCCCAGCACTGGGAGGCTGAGGCACGAAGACACTGTGAGTTCGAGACCAGCCTCGGCTACATAGTGAGCTCCAGGTCAGTCTCAGCTACATAGTGAGACCCTGTCTCTAAAAACCAACCAACCAAACAAAATACCCACTGTGCCTTTTGTTCACAGATCGGGGACCAACGGCTTGGGTTGCACTGCAGATAGAACTAGGGCCCAGCCGACCTGGCAGGGGTTCTGGAGCAGGACCAGCCATGGGGCCTGGGGCCAGGCAGAATCAGCCAGGCTCCCTGGCCCTGCCATGCCTTGTCCATGGCCAGGGCTGCTTAAGACAAACCTGGCCTTGGTTTGAAAGGAGAGGCCAAGAACCCAGGGCCTCACGGGTGTTGGACAAATGCCCCGGCACAGAGCCACAAACCAGACCTGGCTGAAAGGAGCTCACAGCTGGAGGGGGAAGGGGCCAGCGAGCTGCCCTGGAGCCACCTAAGAGGAAGTTCTGGGTTCGAGTCCCAGAGGCTTGGCTTGGAGGCTGCCTGTGCCTGCAGCTTCGTCGATGCGTACTTTTCCATTCTACAAGGCTGCGCCAGTGCGCTGCTCAGTACGCGCACACAGCTGTGCAGTGCAGTCCAGCCGAAGGACCGCCCTCACCCCAACACTGTTATTTGCACCCCTACCTCAGCTGGAGGAGTCCACTGATCTCCTCTGCCTCTGTAGCCTTGCACACTGTTGAAATGTTACCAGAGTGGAACCACGCAATGTGTGGTTTCTGGGCTGTGGCTTCGCGTCCCCTTCCCTGCCCACACTGGGGAGGGAGCCCAGGGCCTTTGCACTGGGGACAGGGTCTCCCTAGGCTGGCCTTGAACTCGCGATCCCTTGGCCTCAGCTCTGAGGAGCTGGGATTAGGGGTACGCACCCCCACATCCGTGTGCTCCCACGTGTCTGAGAATCACTCCTGTGTTATCGCCACCCAGAGTTCAGTCCCGCTCGCTCCCGAGCAGCCTTCGCGGCACAGCTGCATCACACCTTGTTTGCCCACTTAGCAGCTGACGGGTGTTTAACTGGGGCCATAAACAATGCTGCCATGGCTGTCCATGAAAAACCAGCAGCGACATCACATTAAATGGCCAAAAACTGAGAACCTTCACGTTAAAGTCAGGAACAAGACAAGGATGCCCACTACCACCACTCCTCTTTGACATAGTTCTGGAAACATCAGCCACAGCAGTTAGACAAGACAAAGAAATTGAAGCAATAAAGACAGGAAAGGAAGAAATTGAACTGTCATTATTTGCGGACATGATACTCTACATTGAAGACCCAAAAAACTCCACCAAAAGACTTCTAGACTTAATTGACACTTTTAGCAGAGTAGCTGGATACAAGGTCTGGATACCCCAAAATCAATAGCCTTCTTGTACACAAATAACAGACTCACTGAGAGAGAAGTTAGGGAAACAATTCCTTTCACAACAGCATCCAAAAAATGAAGTATCTGGGAATCAATTAACAAAAGAAGCAAAAGACCTCTACACTGAAAACTACAGCATTCTGAAAAAGAGATCAAAGAGGATATAAGAAGATGGAAAGATATCCCCTGCTCCTGGAGAGGAAGAACCAACATAGTGAAAATGGCCGTACTCACAATGCTGCCATGAGCACCTGCATCCGGGCTGTGGCGTAGACAACGCTGTTTGTTCACACCTAGGAATGAAGTTGCTGGTCATATGGAAACGTGTTTAATTTTTAAAGAAACTGTCTGCTTTTCAGAATGATTGTATCATTTTGCAGGCAGACCAGTGATGCGTGAAAGTTTCTTTCTTTCTACCCTGCTCATCCTTGCAGGAATATAGGTATCTCGCTCACGATGCTTTTTCTCTGTACTAGAAATTGAACCCAGGGCCTTCTCACTGAACTACCTGTCCAGCCCTTTAGATTTATTTTTTAAGACCTTAAGAGTCTCACTAAGCTAATCAGCTGCCCTGGTTAGGCTGGAACTTGTGATACTCCTGTCTCAGCGTCCCAGATTTCAGTGTGCATTTTAACCTTTGCATTTCCCCAATGCCTAATGATGTCAAACACCTTTGCACATGCTGGGCTGGTGCTGTCGGCCAGTCGTGTATTTTCTTGTAGTCCTTGCTTCTCTTATCAGTGAGCATAATAATCTGGATAGACTCTTCATCAGATAGATGACTTGCAGGCATCTTCTCTCTTCTCTCCGTGGTTTATTCGGAAAAATGAGTGTCCCCATGCTGACTTTTAAAACTCGTTTTGTGAATTGAGCCCGATGTCCTGCCACACTGTCTCCCAGACGCTGTCACTTTAGCTCTCAGGCCGACACTCCCGGTGGGGTGTGCTACGGTCATCCGATGTGGATAAAGTCACTGCGGCACCCAGCACATGTGCCGGACACTGTTCCTGTCCAAAAGGAGTGGGCTGAGGTGAGAAACACTGAGTCAGGTTTTTGGTCCATTTCAGTACCTTTTTATGTGTGGTGTGAGATAAGGACCCAAGGGCCTATTTTCTTTCTTTCTTTAAAACCGTGTCAAACCAGTGATTCTCCTGACTCAGCCTCCTGAATAGCTGGGATGACAGGTGTGCACCTTCTCTGCTAGCTAAGTGTGTCTGAAATTTTCATCATTTTCTTTCTCCAGAACCAGTTGTTGAAAACAATATTCTACAACACTGACTGCCTTGGCACCTTTGCTGGAAGTCAGATCCCAAATGAGAGGATTTGTGTCTGCATTCCTTCCTGGGTTTCCTGATCCACATGTCCATTTTTATCACATTTCTGAATGCTGTAGTTTTAGTAGGCTTTGTCAAATTTATAATTTTGTTCCTTTTAAAAATGTTTTGTCTACAAGAGGCTTTGCATTTTCACATAAATTTTAGCATCAGCTTTTTGAATACTATAAAAAGCCACCTGGGACTTTGCTGTTATGGGCTCCTGAATGTGCAGATTAACTCAAGAGCTGCCACATTAGTTAGCACTGCTCTCTGTGACAGTCAGTGTCCAGTGTCCCCCAAGCTTCCTCTTGTGGTCATTCTGAGGCAGGCGGTGGAACCACTGAGCTAAATCCCCGGCCTTGTGGTCATTCTGGAGGTGGCTGGATCCAGACTCTGTGAGTGACTCACGGTGGGGCTGGGCCCAAGCCATGAGGATTAAGGGCATGGGTGCTACTCGCCCTAAGTAGTCTGAATAAGATAAAGGGGCAGAAGGACTCTTGTTGTTCTGCTACCTCCTGGCTCTGTTTCTCCTCTGGATGCCTCTGCCTTGGAGGCAGCCGACTATGGACAGAAACCTCTACAAGCTGTGAGCCAGATAAGCCTTTCCTTCTTAACTTTGCGTGTCCGGTATTCCGACTCAGCAAGGAGAGCAAAGTAACTAACACGTCTTCTAACCCTTGAAGTTACTTAGGTCTTCAGTTTCTATGAGCAGCATTTCATAGTTTCGTTTATAGGCTGAGCACTTGTTTCTCCAGTTATTCCTTTGTATTGTTATTAAAAAAGGAACTGTGTTCTCAACTTAACTTCAAACTGCTTATTGGTAATACATAGAATTACCCAGTTAGTTCTGTATATTGATTTTGTACACTGTAATCTTGCTAAATTTGAGTTCTAGTGGTTTTTTTCTTTGATTTTTTATAATCTTTTATATAATGTGTGGTCTGTGAATACTGTTTTACTTCCATTCTGTATGCTTTTAATTTCCCTTGCCTTTTTCTCTGGGTGGAATCTCTGATTTATCTTGAATACATGTGGGGAGAGCCTCATATCTTTCAAAGTTAAAAACAAACAAACAAAGCAGAGTTCTGGCTTTGGGCGCAGGCCCACTGGAAGAGATGCACGGGACTCTGGGGAGCTGCAGCGAGGTGGCCTGCGCGACGTGGAGAGTGTGCAGCCCGGCCAAGCCTGGTGCGGGAGATGTTTAGTGTTTAGGGGAGGTCCTGGCCGCTGGGGCTGGGGCTGAGGCAGGGCGGTGTCTGCTGTGTCCCCAGCCGGAGCGAGTGCAGGGAGCACAGCCTCGAGGGAGCACTGGTGTGGCAGGAGCTGCGATGCTTTCGGACACCTGAGGGCTGCGAGGCTCCGAGCTCAGCGGTGCCCGGAGACGAGCATCCTGCAGGACCACCTGGAAGCACACTGCTCCCGGAGGGATCGCAGCGGAGAACCCAGGAAGGGAGAGAACCTCAGCGGGTCTCCGTCCTGCAGGAGGCAGCGCTGTCCCAAGGTGTACGGGTTCTGCCCCACGAGCACGGGCTCCGTCCCTTACTGGCGAAGCTCTGCACACCTGGCCCCCCAAGCTGGCACAGGACATCGTCCTAGGACAGCCCACGCCTGCCTTCCTGGGGTACTCAGGTGTGAACCCCAGGTGCGGAGTGTGACCCGAATGCTCTTCACACCTGGTACTCCATGTGTTGCCAGAGATTTCATTCTGAGCCAGGAAGCTTAGGGGCTTCAAGTGCTCCCAGTGACAAAACAGTTCAAGGGAATCCCGTCTTTATTTGGGAGAATAGTGCACTAATGACAAATGACAAAGATGCTGTGACCCCAGCCGTGACCAGGACTGAGATTCAAACAGTGGCATCCTGGGGAAAGAGCCTGGCCTCCATCTGGACTCCGAGCAGAGGGCTCTGAAGCTGCAGCCTCTCAGGCCGGGCTGCGGGCAGGGTCATTCCGGGCCGGTGTCTCCTCTCCAGGCTCCGAGCCCCGAGTGCCGGCCACAGTGCTCCCACGAAGCAGGTAGCTTTCAAAGGCACAGACTTTGTGCTTCATGATGGAATCTGGGGACAGAGAAAGGCGGGTGGCATTATGACAGCCAGCTACAGCCCAGTCACGGAGTGACAACCTGTTCCCGAGTGCACAAAACTGCATCTTAAGCGGTGCTTCATTGTCAGAAGGCCTGCACGTCCTGACGGCACACAGACAGCTTTTGAAGGTAGAATCAAGCAGCCAGTCCCTGCCACATTGGCCAGAGTTCCAGGGCTCATAGCTGCATGTCCATCCGGTCAGAGATGGGGACATTTTATCGTGGCAGAGCCTTCTGCCAGCCGGGGGGGGGGAGGGGTCTCACCTACCTCAAGAGACCCGGATGCTGTCTCAGCCACTGCAAGTGCTGCCTGGTACAAGGGAGCGTGTGAACGTTAACACAGGTTTGAGCCGGCCACAGGGCCTGGCTGTGCTGGCCTTGCTGCCAGCTAGGTCTTTATGTGGACTGCACAGGCTCCCTTCCTGGATTTGGTCTGTTGTGCTCCAGGTGAAGAGGCCAGGCTGATGAGTTCTGAAGCCTGGTGCTTGGCAGCCAGTGACACCCAGCCCTCGCCCTCTCCTCAGGGCAGGGACGCTGCCTGAGGAGACCTGTGCCTGCCTGGAAATGCAGCGGATGCAGCTCCTGCCTCCTGACTGCAGCCCTCACTGGTCACACTGCAGTCACACAACAGAAATGATGCAGTGGTCCCTGAAGGACCCAATGAGGCCACACTGACGAGCAAGGAAAAAAGGGTTTATGCTATGAATAGAGAAAAAGTGGAAAACAGCTCACGAAATAATATCAGAATTGAACTGTTTCCTTTGCAATACAAATCCACTTCCATATGGGGTCTGAGTTGGGCAGGGACCCTCACATGGACTTAGGAAGTGACTCTAACACATATGTAAAATGCATGTATATGTATGTGTACATGGACATGACTACCTCGTAATGAGTGATATTGTAGATACTATCATTATAATAATTACTGTTAGAAATACACACCACTGGCGTCTCTCCACGACAGTGAGGTAGGTATTATGATATATATATATATATATACATATATATATATGTATGTATTTTAATGATTTATATTTTAATATTAGTCCTTTATTTGTGATGCATGCTATGTTTTCTTTCAGTTTGTGATTTGCCTTTTCTTGTGCAAACTTCTGTCAAAAGACATTTTTCTCTTTTCTTTGGACTCAAATTACATGGATATTTTGCTTAATTGAGCCTAGGTTTGAGCCAGAGATAAAGAGTCATTTCCTGTACCCAGTTTATAAAGTAATTCAGTCATCCAGTCTTCCAGGCTGTAAAACTTTGTGAGTTCAATCATAAACTTCTGACAGGATGCCATGTTTCAAAGTAAAAAAGGCAGAATAAATGATCCTCTTTCCTACTGAGTCCAAAATTCAGTGTAATCCAAAAATTTCAAACTTCAAAAAAGATGGACGCATATATTCTAAAATTTATATGAAAAAGGAAACACCCAGGAGGAGGGCAGCTTTGAAAAGGAGGAAGACTGAGAGAACCCGACAGTGTGGACTCTGCACAGCACTGTCCCCTGGCTGCAGATGCACAACTGGGCGTGATCAGTGCAGAAAAGACAGATGGAGGGGACGGCCAGATGCACGCCCACACACAGGGGGTCCCAAGACGGTTCAGAGGGGCACTATGAATCAGAGGAAAGAGATGAGCGGTCTAACTAATGACATGATCCTCTCCTCACATCGGATGATACATAATAAACTGCAGTAGCTTAGAGCTCTAAACATTCATAAAGCAATACTGGGTTGGGGATGTAGCTCAGCGGTTCCACCACCTGCCTTGCAAGCCACAAGTGCAAGGACCTGAGTTTGATTCTCGGTACCAAAAAAAAAAAAAAAAGCAACACAGGACACTTAGGAAGCTATTTTAAAATCTAGGGGTGAGAGAGGCCTTCCTTAGCAAAAGGCAGTAATCTTACACACCATGGAGAAGCGAGGTAGCTGATTTCACAACAAACAGAAAAAATGAAACTTCAGTAAAACCGAAGGCATCACCAACAAAATTAAAGAATTTTACAACATGCATAATGTGATTAGCGTGCAAATCTTATCACTACTGCTGTGAAACAATGTGAGAAAGGCCATTTAAAAACAGGCAAGGGATAGAGATAGGCAGCTCATGAAATATAAATCCCTGCCCAGGGTTTCCATGCTCATCAGTAACTTAGTCACCAGGGGATTGCAAACAACATAATGAGATCATCTGCTTTAACTCGGGATCAACCACTGCAAAGAGGGCCATGTCCAGTGCCGAGGGTGTGGGGAAGGGGGCGCCGGGCAGCAGCTATGAGCGCGGACTGGTGTGGCTGTGTGAGCGGCAGTGAAAAGTGTGCTTGCCCAGGCACAGTGACTGCTCTCCTAGGAATCGGTTTTACAGAAATACTCGCTCACCTGGGGCTGGGTGATAGCAGCCATGGCTAACCTTTTAGAGATGAGCGCCCAAACTGCAGCCCCGACCCTGATTTATTACAAAGAGCCAACACTGAAATTAAACCTGAGGCCTAGACAAGAAACTGAAACACCGGCGCCTCTAGGCAGTGTGCAGCCTGCCCCCGGGCTGGGAGGCAGAGGAGAGCCAGGCCCAGGGAGCGCTGCCCCGTGCGGACACCCAGGAAGATGGGCTCTCCCATCCCATCCGCCAGGCGTCGGAGGCGGCCTCACAGGAACGACCCTACACACCCAATAAAATGTGACCGGTGGAAAGAGACACAAACACGGGCTGAGCCACACACACAAACTCCGCGGACTAACCCGGAGGAGGGAACACTCTTCTCTTTTAGAACAAACATTACTTAACGTGTCTCGGTGCGCATTTACACAGGAGCTGAAGTTTCCTAGCCGCGCTCTGGGGGCCTCTTGCCAGGCAGGGCGACTGCTGCCAGCCGGATTCTGTACAGCACAGAGGGCAGGTCGCTGTCTTGAACTAACTCTCTCGGCCAACAGCAAGCTCAGGAGTGCAGTGCTCCAGGACGCAGAGGGGGCTTTTTCTCTGTCCAGGGAACCAGTGGCCCGTGCCTCTGCTTCACTGCGGGATGAAGTTTGCACAGCGTCGGGGGACGGGGACACTCAGGCGGGGCCTTCCCACCCAGGGACCCGCCAGCAGGTCATGAGGGTCACCAGAGAACCCGAGCAGACCCCTCTGGGTGCTGGGCTCCCCTTCCGCAGACTGGGCCAGTCTGGCGCACTCCTTCAGCTCTGTCCCGTCCTGTGCACAGCCTCCCATTCTTCTGGGGTCAGATTCGGGTCCAGGCATCGCCTTCCGTTCTCTGGCCACACCTGACCTCTCAGATCAGCCGTGCAGCTGGACCGGAACTGGCCTCTCACTTAACCGCCCTGTGCATTGTCGGAACCCAGTGTTGTTGTGTTCTCCCTGATACTGTTTCAAAACACCCATGAGACCCCCGCCATCCCCGCTGCTTCTGCCTCAGCTCCGGCCCTCTGTCCTCTCTGCCGGGCTCCGGCCATCCTGGCCCATGGCTGCTCCTGGCCCTGGGCCTCCGCCAGCCCCACAGCTCCAGCCCCTCGTCCTCACTCAGGTTTGAGTTCCAGTGCAGCTCTCAGCGAGGGGTGCCAGGGTCTTACTTTTCACTTCCCGGCAGCTTTCTAAGTGTCTTACTCTTCTCTCATTGCTGAAACAAAATACCCAGCACCCAAAGTTAAAGGAGGAAGGATTTCAGCTCAGAGTTTGTAGACCACTTTTTTTTTTAATGGTTGAAGTTGTTTAGATTTTCCATTCTTTGAATCGATTTTGGAAATGTTTTCTAACATTTATCCTTCCTACCTGTTCTCAAATTCATCAGCACGAACGCGCGCACTGCACTTTCCCCTCCTTCCTTTTTCAGGATCCCTCCTAATTCTACTATGCAGGACCCTCCACCCTCAGCTTTTGCTATTGTGAGGCCTCTTGATTTCTTTGCCTCAACTTTGTTAATATTTAGCCAGGTGTGGTGGTGCAGGCCTGTAATCCCAGAACTTGGGAGGCTGAGGCAAGAGGATCGCCACAAGTTCCAGGCCAGCCTGGGCTACAGCGCAACACCCTGTCTCAAAAAACAAAACAAATTAACAACATTTTGCTAATATTGTCAGTGTCTTTAGTTTCTTCCCTCCTGCACTGTTCAGCGTTACTTTACTTCGATGCATTTATTCTGTTTCAAGCATAAAAGCCAAAGAAAAACTGTTTGAAATAAGACAGTTGCATTCAGCTCCTTCTGCTTCCTGTAAGCTGGGGGGGTCCAGGTTGCCCGAGCCGGGGTGCATCTCGGCCTGCAGGACTCGGGTCTGACAGGCAGAGCTGGAGCACACCGGAGACGGGGCTCAGAGTCAACAGCGAGTGCAGCACAGAGAGCAGCACCCCAGCCCAGGTCTCACCTTTCACATTTTGGAATTCCAAGTCTCCAGTAATTTCCTGTGTGGCCTTGGCTCAGAAGCAGGCTGCTCAGCTCCGGCCCTCTGAGGCGGCTCAGGTGAGCTGGATGCACGGGAGCTGCAGGCAGCGAGGCTGTGGGAACCAGGCTCCCAGGCAGGGCTGTGTAAGCAACAGGCTCCTGAGGCAACGCAGCCTCCTGTGCCCCTTCCCCTGTGCGTGCCACCCATGTCTGCTCCTTCTTATCTGAAAAGCAGCCTCTGGTGAGATGGGGCCTCACTGGGCCTTGTCCACTGCGTCAAAGGCCCTGTTTCCACATCGGGCCGTAGTCTGGGACCCGGGGGACACAACTCAGCCCGAAGCACGAGCCCCACCACTCCCTTCTGCAGTGTCCAACACTAACTGCCCACTGCCCAGTAACAGCACTGAGGGTCTGACGTCCAACACACTCTGGGGCTGCAATTCATCAGGTCCACAAGCAAAGGCAGCCTGACCCTCGCAGCACGCCACCCGGAGGCTGAGCTTGACGTTTCTTCTCTACTAATAACCTTCTGGAGCCCTGGGCGGAGGGCAGCAGGTCAACACCTGAGCACCCTCTCCTAGCCAGAACCTGTGTGACTCCCCAAGCCAGGACTGAATTCCCAAGGCCTCGTGCAGAGTGTGCCGAGCTGACGACCCTCGGTCTGAGCTGACCCGGGCCTCTGGCTGGCGGAGGAGCAGCTCTGCCTCACGTCTCCGGCTGGCGGGCCTGCCTTTAGCTGGTGCTCACCGTGCACCTCCGCTCAGGCTCTGCTGGTGCACATGTAACAAAGGGGCTTCGGGGCCTTGCAGCTTAGCCCTTTCAGAGAGACCCATGGGGCTGTAGTGACCGATGGAGACAGCTTAAAGTTGAGCCAGACACTTCCTTTCCACAGCTTTCCAAAGCTTATACTAAAATACATTTTCAGCCTATAAACATTAGATACTGAAATTCCCAAGTCCAAAAGTTGTGATTCCATTATTTCTGTCTTGGTAGTTTTCACTTGTTCTGAGGATAACTCAAAGCAGAGGGAACCCTTCACACAGTCTGCAGGGCAGTGACTCCGGTCTGGGGGTCCTGATCCCGGGCGAGGAGCAAGGGCAGCTCAGGGAGCAGGAGGCTCCTGCCCTCACCCGCTGTGTGTGTGACGGAACCGTGGACTGCAGTGACCTCGAACGAGCTTTCCTCATCCACGTCACCGTGGGGCCAAGGCTGTGGGCCTCCAAAAGGCCTTGCCCCGCACGGCGCCACAATTAACGGGCAGTGTGACGAGGGCCTGCACGCTGTCAGGGATCTTTGTCCTGCAGACTGGGTGTGGACAGTCACGTCAGGGCTCTGAGAGATGAATGGAAATCACACCAAGGCCCAGCTGATCTGTCTCTGGCAGCCCCGTCGAGAACACTGTTATGTGCCCACCACGGCTCAAATGTACGCCTGACCTCTTGGACGTAGCCCAGACGATAAAGCAGCACCCGAGGTTGGGACAATGTCTCACCAAAGACCAAAGAGAACTGACAGTGGGCAAAGAAACGACCGCAGCGCCGAGTCACAGACCTGTGGTGCCACTCCCCGCACGGGACGGGGACTTCTTCTGTGGGAGCGCTGCGGGAAATCCAAGGTGAGACACGCCATCAAACACACAGGCGATCACGGCACCAGGTAAAGGTGAGGTTTTAGCTCCCAGTGTGGGGAACTCCGTTCTTGCTTTCCTATTTATCTTCAGACATATGCAAGCATCCTCCAGAGTGTTCTCTCCCGAAAGTCCCAGCTCGCCTTCTGGTTGGATGATTCACCAAGATTCTTGGCTGGAGCGCAGCGTGTTTCAGGGAAGGCGGGCTCCAGGGAGCACTGGTGACCGGCCAGCCCGGGCTGCCAGGACACCCTCGTGGGGCGAGGGAGTGAGCTGGGGCTCCACAACCTCCTGCAGTGCTCCTGTCCCCACCAGGCACACACAGTGGCCTTCAGAAGGCCCAGCTGGCCAAGTGCCTGGGTCGCCCAGGCTGGGGCTGGAAGGGACCCTCTGGAGCAGGGTGAGCTCTGATGACCGCAGCCTTCCCCGCTGCAGCCAGTGACAGAGTGGGAGAGGGCTTATCCCGGACGCTGGCACCCCGGGACGGGGGACTTCTTGGCACTGCTGCCTTTCCAGCAATCACGGAACAAAGCCATCAACGGCAGGATAAAGATAGAGCTACTTTAAAGAAAAACCTAGAGTTTTCACTTGGGATGGTAACTTCCAAACCTACAAGGGGATACGATAAATTACCTTTAAGAGGTTTAAGTATTTTATCCAAACTACTCTGAAGCCTCCAGGGGTCCCTTCTCCCCTGAGGAAAATCTATTGCCCCACTTCCTGTTATCTTTTATTTTGCCCTTTCACTCTGGGTTGCTCATACTAGAGAATCCACGTGATATTTAGGCTTGGGTGTCTGATTTACTGCACGTAGCGCTGCGGTCAAGGTGGCCCTTTACCTCCAAACGACTCAAGTCTATCCTGCCATGTGCAGAGCAGCACTCCACGGTGCGCAAACGTCACCTCTCTCACCCACTCACCTGCCAGTGGACACACGGGCACGGGTTCGTGACCATCTGCAGTAGGACCTTTGACTCTGACGGGAGCACCCGGGAGCGGATCGGCTGGGTCAAATGGAATTTCTGGTCCTGGGTTTTATGAGGTATCTCCACACCGATTTCCACAGTGGATGGGGTGATAAGGGATGAAAACCGGAATTCAGACGTGTCATGTACACGCACCCACTTCCCACAAGGGATGTGAATATGTCATACTGCACACGTGTAATAAACTAATAATTAACAGAAAAGGACTCCCAGGGGTCTGGCCCCATACAGCAGCTGATATTCCAGCTGGAATAAGTTTAATTTATAAATTATGAGTACTGCCTTTCATAACTCATTACAAAATAACTTAAAAAAAGTTACATTCTTAGTTTCGATCTTACCACATTTTGAGAACAAACTACTCCCTAGAGAAGTATTTATTAAACTGAGGACAATGGGAAGGAAGTTTCCCGAGATGCCTTGCTCTGTCCGTGTCAGGAGTGGCAGTCCCACCTGTACGCGAACACTACCGCTGGGGGTGCTCAGTGTCAGGCGCTGCCCAGGGCACAGCAGGCGGAAACAGGAAGCCAGCACCTGCCCCAGGGCTTTGCAGGCCAAGTGGGACTGCATGTGCCCAGACAACCCCGGTCCTGAGCATACATTGGGACACTGGGCTGGGTCTCAGCGCCCAGGGGAACGTCCGGTGCTAGGTGTGGAAAAGGCCTGGTCCAGGCTGGCGGCCCGTGCATGGGGGTGCCAGGGAGCCAGGGCCCGCCCTCCACACAATGTCCGGATGCTGCCAAGGGCACTCGCAGGTGCTGTGGGCAGTGACAGATTAGAAACAGGACGTCAGTTAGGGGAGAGGAGAGAGACAGAAGCTGGGCTACAGCTCAGTCCTGAAAGGCAAAGAATTCTGCAGGGCCTCATGCTGTGTAAAGCTCAGGGAGGGCAGGGAGTCACCGTCTACCGTCGGCCCCCAGGGGAAGCGGCCGCACAACACCCGAGGAGCTGAGCCGAGGCCCTACTGAGGCCCCAGCCACCCGACTGGACACACTAAGCCCGGACTCCTGGGCCTCTGCCTGTGATTCCCGGCTCCACTGCTGCCCCCAGTCACGCACACAGCTCCACCGGGGCAGCTGTGAAAGCTCTGGTCTGCAGCTGTGTCACTGTGATGCATTCCCTTTCGGAAAACAAAACCAGGGCCTCTGTGAGGAACATGGGCTGAGGAAGGCGATGTGCTGAGCCTTTAGAAGAGTAAATAGCCTCTTGGCTTTTGGGCTGAGCTAAAAACGTTAGTTTCCAGGCAAAAGAAATCACTCTGTCCCAGACAGAGAAAAATTACTTTGGATTGTCATGCTCTAAAAATGCATGATGGATGACCACCAATCATCTCGAGGCTATCCAGAGAGCATCTGTGGTCCTTGCGACTGGAACTCAGCCTGATGCCTGCTGATCTGCTAAGCGTACGACTAGAGTCGGGATGAGCAAAGCCAGGAGGCCGGACACAGGGAGCACGTGGAGGGGAGCCTGAGGAAGAAAGCAGAAGGAGAGCAGGGGACAGAGGCTGCGAAGGCGGGAGGGAGCAAACGGAAGGTCACAGGTCTCAGGGGAGGATCTGACCAAAGGTGCTGAAAGCGGTGTCTCACTGTTAGAGCTGGCTGTGTCCCCCCAAACATTATGTGCTGAAGCCCCAAGCCGCAGGTGTGACAGCAGCTGGAGAAGCGGCCTGTGGTGGCTGCACTTAGGGTAAGACGAGGTCACTCAGATGCCAGCTGACTGGTGTCCACAGAAGGGGTGTCTGGATGGCAGAGGTGCAGGGGTGTGGGGGCAGGCGGGCGTATTAGCCAGAGGGAGACAGGACGATGCTGCAGAAGGGCATGGAGGGCTGTGTTCCTGTGAGCCAGGGTCAGGGGTTCCCTCACCATCCTGCGCCCCACACCTCAGCCTCAGGCACAGGCACTGAGCCCTGGGGCAGCTCGGCTTCCCTCCCTCCTGAGCCGGCCGAGTGCCTGTGCAAACCCTGTCAGCAGACGGAGGGGTGGGTTCTCACAGCCACACGGAGGTGGACACGGAGCCCATCCCGACCCTGGGCCGCTACCGCAATCTGATGCCAACCCCTCGGCCCCCTCCGCCTCTCCAGCCCCCACTCCGCTGGCGCCTGTTTCCTACCTAGGACCCACTTCTCCGACAGGTGCTGGACAGCGGCCCTCCTCTTTCCATGGTACGGCCCGATGAAAACGCTGGCGTGGCGTGGCCCCGGGCTGACCCGGCCCCCACAGAGGAGGACCAGCTCACGCAGCTTGGCCCTGGGGGGGCTGCTGGCTGCGGAGATGAACATCGGGGGGTGGTCGGCAAAGAGGGTTCCGCGGTACTGCCCAGGGGACAAGTGGCGCTGGAGCCGGCAGACCTGTGGGCACACAGAAGGGAAAGTCACAGGGGCAGGGGACAGGCCGCACTCTCTGGCAGGACAGCGGGTGGCAGGGCTCACTGCCTCTTCTGGGGAGAGAGAGACCAGAATGACACAGATGACTCAAACGGATGCTTTCCAAAGTGGCCATGAATGAAACTCGCCAGGTTTACAGGGAGCAGCACGTGTTTGCCTTTGAATTATTACAAATTGTAAAACAAAACATCAAGTAACAGCTGTCAAATAGACTGCGGGGAGCTCTGACACCATCAGCTCACATCGAGCTCTCGGACCCGCCCTCCATCCTGGGGGCCTGGGCTCCATGGCTATGGCCAGATGGGTCTGAGGAGTGCAGCAAGCCCAGGGCACAGGGAGAGCGCACAACGCTCAGCCCCACTCCTGCGCCAGTCCAGGGACGGGAGGTCGGGGAGAGAGGAGAGTTTCCCGGAGTTACTACGGAAGTGGCAGACAGCAGGCGTCTGAGAAACAGGATGCAAGGCCCCCATTCCCTGCCACAGTCTGAAGACTGAACCCAGAGTCTGTGCACTGAGTTTTTGTCCCAGCCCTTTTTTCACTTTTATTTTATGACAGGATTTTGCTAAATTGCTTGGGCTGGGCTCACACTGGTGATCCTCCTGCTTCAGCCTCCCAGAACGCTGGGATTACGGGTGTGAGCCTCCACTCCAAGCTAACTACCCTTTTATCCGATCCAGTTGTGGTCCCTCGATCACCTAAGGAAGAGTGGAAGGCCGTCACTCTAAACCCAGGCAGAGTGTGACTTCAGACCCAATTCCGCACTGCACCATTCTTCCCTCCTCCGAGTTCCAGGACCCTGCTGTCTGCCAGGCTCCCCCGAGTCACTGACTCACACAGGCCCCCACGAGTCGTGAACCCAAACTCTGTCTTCACCCCTTCATTCCGTGTGAAGTCAGAGGCGGCACCGCACTGCAGAACCCGCTTCACCCTCACCTCAGGTGGGGCTGCACGCACACTGCTTTGCTGGGTAAGCGAGGATGCTGAAGGGCAATGCTGGACTCCGTTTCTAAAATCAAAACGGCCGGGACGTGCCCTGTGGACGCCGTCCTGGTGCACACAAGGACAACCTGGTGGCCAGCGCTTTCTGCCTCTGGAAAGAGGACACAGAGGGCGGCAGGACACACCCAGGGCCCCCAAGGACAGGTGGGGCCAGTTTGGGCTGAGAAGGCCTCGCCCTGACCCCGGGGTGCGGACCGCCACCCTCTCCTCAGCAGCCCCGCCGACTCACCGCTCTTGTACCCAGCTCAGAACCCCAAGGCTGCGGGCAACACAGGAGGCAGAGTGCTGGGAGCCCCCTTCCCCATGGTCACCTCAGGGGAGAAGGCCGCACACGCGCGGGTCCTGAGGGCCTCCCTGTGGGTTATCTTCTCGCCTCCTCAGTCTCCCTGTCGCAGCAACTCAGCAGTCTGCTCTACACAATAATTCCATTTCAAACCTTACAGTCCTGCCCCCCAAAAGCAGCACAGGGGCCAGACCTGTGGGGGTCTCGGGATGGGGGAGGTGCTAACTGGATGGCCAGCGTGGGGTCAGGTCTGCTATCACTTGAGGGGGCCACAGAGATGACCCAGCTCTTCTGCACAGACTTAAAGAGTTTCAGCTAAGGTGGCCGGGCGTGGTGGCGCACGCCTGTAATCCCAGCACTCGGGAGGCTGAGGCAGGATCGCTGTGAGTTCGAGAGTATGTAGCCTGAGCTACGTAGTGAGTTCTAGATCACTCTCATTACACAGTGAGACCCTGTCTTAAAAAAAAAAAAAAAAAAAAAAAAAAAATTTTTTTTTAAAAAAAAAAAAAAAAAAAAAAAAAAAAAAAAAGGTGGGGGTTTCAGCTAAAAATGATGAAAAAATAAAAGAACAAAATTAAAAGCACAACTCTAAAGACTCTGTGCTATACTCAGTTCCAAGGATAATCTCAAGCACCCGGCTCCTGGGGGGAGGCAGGGCCCCTGCAGAGGCACAATTCCCGGTGTGCTACAGACCAGCAGACCAGCATTATGGAGCCATGAAATAGCTTGAAGGCAACCAGTGAGTGGGAAGGGAAGTGAACTTTCCCCAGTAACCCAGAAAAGTCGGGGAGGAGAAGGGAGTGAGTTGAATTTTCCGGAGGCGCTGGACTCAAGCTGCTCTAAACGCGTGTGGCAGGACAGGGGAGGCCGGAGGCTTCCGGGCAGAGCTCAGGGGTCTCTGCCTCCTGTGCCCGCTAGTGGTGACACAGGTGGTCTTCAGATAGGAGGCAGCTGTGGGAGGTGGAAAGTGTCCTCTTCCGTGAGTTTTCCAGCCCTTGCTGGTAGAGGATGAGGACCATCCTAGAGAGACACAAGAGACAGCAGTTTGCTTTGAAAATGCTGCCTGTGTTTGTGCCTCCATAGGAAGAGACACTGATCCGGAGGGTTCTGCTGACCCTGCACACCTGTTCACCTGGAGGTCAGTCAAGGAAGACTGTCTTCACAAGCATACACACAACAGAATGCCCCATGCTCCTAGCTCCAAGGAATCCCAGATCTTTATCCAAGGCCAGGAAACAAAGCCCCAGGGTCGATGGTTCACTGACTCTAGCCAAGGACTTTGGATTTCGGTGAGAGCAAGTGCTTTCCCCAGCAGAGCTCACCCTTGGGATCTCCCTGCTCACTCAGCTCCCACGTGTGAGTCGTGCACATGTGGAGATGCAGACCTTCCAGGACAGCAGAGTCCTCCAGCAAACACTTGCCATGGGACTGAAGAGGCTCCACGAGGCTTTGGGTCCCGCAGTCCTGGCCTACCCACAGCTCTGCTCCTCAGCTGAAGCAGCGAGCCAAATCCATGTCCCAGCATGCAGTAGGCCACACCAGGCCTCTTATCTGAATGAGTCTTCGCACAGTTTAGCAATAATACATCGATGTGTTTTGTAAAGCCTGGCAGCTCGTAGCTTTCACCACGGAGTTCTTGATTTCTTTGTCTAGTAGCACAGGAAACACTGCTGGGGGTTGCGGTTCATATCTAAAAGGCCCCCCACAGCCTCATGTTTGGAAGGTGACTGGATGTGGTTAGGAGCAGGGCCTGGCTGGAAGCGGTGGCGTGGCCTGGACAGATGCACCTCCCTCCCACACCTCTCTCATTTTGCCTCCCGGCCACCGTGATGTGAGCGGCTCTCTGTCAGACGCTCGGCCACTCCCTCCTGCCAGTCACTTTCAGACAAAGTGAACCTCACCTTGAAGCTGCAGGTGTCAGGTACTGCGTCTCAGCGATGAGGAAGTGGCTGGGACAGTGGGAATCGGAATCAGGGCGTCCCGGTTTGATGTACATGAGGCTCTCCCGGCTGGCATCGCAGATTACAGCTGAGGATTTAGTGTGGTCACGCTGCTGATGCACGACCTTCAGCACAGGCGATCACGCCCTGCTCTGTGGCAGGTATTCACGAATGTAGCCTGGTCGGTTTCGCTGGCCATGCCGTTCAGCCACCTGGCCCGTGCTGGGGTCCCTTCCAGTGCAGTGCCCACGATGCCCTCCCACACACTCTGCCCATCCGGGGTTCACCCCGTTCCTCACGGCACCCACAGTATCCTGGGAGGTGACAAGAGCTCTGCCAAGGTGGCCACACTGAAATATGTGCTACACTCGCAGACTCATGAAAATGTCTGCCCTGCTGTTAATTTAGGATGCAAAGAACGAGTGAGAGCTACGGTTTTTAGCCTTTACATTGTCCACATCCCCTTGTCCTTTCAAGGGCATCCTTGAGTTTGTTCCTCCGGGAGCTTGCTGGGAGGACTCTCCCTAGGACACTCCCCTGCGGCAGCATCGGCTGAGGGCCATGCCAGGACCTGCGTCCTAGCGGGCGAGGGGATCTGGGGTAGTGGCATGTGGGGCGGGGGCTCAGCCAGGCAGGAAGGGCGGATGGCACCTGCACGTCCAGGCAGGAGGGAGGCTCTGGGATTCCTTGTTTCTTTTCTTTACCTGGTAACAGGAAGGTGAATGCAGGACTCCCCCAGCAGCAGAGGTGGCTCCCTTCATCTGCCTGGAGTCTGTGCCCATCCCTGCCGACGCCCATGGGGTGGCCCTTTAATCTTCCACATGGAACGCCGAGACAGCTCCAGGTGGGGTACCCACGTGTCACGGACGCTGCCCTCCTGCCTCTCCTCAGCACGGCCAGCACTGCAGGGGTCTCCTGCTCCTGGGGGAGAGCGCCCTGCCCACTCTCCTACTGGCTAACTCACTCCTTCCTCCGCTTGGTTCTCAGGCTACCGGGGAGGACACAGCCTGTTCCCCCTGAGCGTTCCAGGTCAGACACGACGTGGACAGGAGACCAAGGAGACTTCATGGCGGCCAAGCTGGAATGAAGCACGAGCAGAGGCCGTCACTTTACAGGGTGGGAAGGAGACAGGCGCCTCAGTCCTGTGGGCTCGGACCAACAGTCGGATGGCGGGGTGTGAGCGGCAGGCAGCACTTCAGGGCTTGTCAGTGACGGCTGACAGGCAGGTACCTGGCACCTGGCGGTGCAGTGAGACGCCTGGGTGAGCCGGCACCCTGACAGGAGCAGGGCAAGAAGCCTCCAGGCTGGAAGGCGTACGCTGCAGGAGGAGGGAGCAGGGGCTGAGGTCGGGAACGGAAGACCTGCGGCAAAGGATGGACAATCTAACGAGGAACAGAGCAGGAGATGGGATGGGGTGGGGGCACTCCAGAGAGAGCGAGCCAGCAAGCCCACCTGGAAGCCAGTGGCGTCACCTGCTTCCTGTGCTCAGAGGGGCTGAGATCAGGGCCCCAAGAGCCTTATGCCTCTCCCAGGGTCAGCAGAAGCTCACCGGGTCGCCTGTCACCCACAGGGTGCCTGCAGCCCACAGCCCGGGCCCTCACAGACCTCCTGCCCCCAATTCCTATCACCCTGGGGGCAGGAAGGTCACAGAAAGACACTTCCCAGGTACTCCAGGACCAGCACCCGTGCACACACCGCTCCCCTGCCCCTGCAGGTGGCAGTCCATGACAGCCGGCCACCTG